CGCGTGCACCCGCATGCAGACACCGCTGGATCGGAGGGACAGAGCAGTCAGCGCTGGATCGGAGTGACGTCGCACCGCTGGAGGGACACATGAAAACATGGGGAAAGAAGAGGAAGACCAGAATAAGAGACATCATTTAAGGTAAGTGCTAACATTTAAATGGGGGGGAGGGAAAAAAAATTTTGCCTTTTAATATCACTTTAAGGGTCTTCAAGGACCTAGTTGATAAATGGTTGGAAACCCTCGCTAAAGCACTGTTCCCCCTGGTGGGCCCTGCTCTTCATCCCATCTTAGCCATGACCCTGCTTTGCCAAACCCAGGATTGGGCGAGTCCCTTAATGGGGATCTTACCACAACTATGGTTGATCCCTTGGTCATAGAACACCAAATAGTTACAACTTTTTAAGCTACAGCTGTAACAGGCTGCTTGGAGGTTTCACTGCTCATCTCCCCAAGGCTCTCATGAGTCTCTTGCCAGTACATATGCAGAGGACAGTTTGGCAGGTCTGTTAGCCTTTTTGGCCCTTGTGGATCAAGGTGTCATTGCCACAGTTTCTGTGGCAGAATGGGTTTAAGGGTGTAACTTCAACCTTTCACACTTCCCAATCCCAAAGGGGGCAAGCACTGACTGTATTCAAGCTCAAATTCGACATGGAATCCACCAGGTCTGTCATCACCTCCTTTTACTAGGGAGACTTTCTGGCTTATGTGGACAGCAAGGATGCTTGCATACATCTGTCCAGTGCACCAACATTACCTACGCTTTGCTGTAGGCCTCCTGCACTTTCCGTTTGTGGCTCGCCATTCAGCCTTGTTTGCGCCTCGGATGTTGACCAAACAGTCAGTCAAGGCATTGTCGGACAAGGTGTTCAGACATTGCAATGATTTTGTTGTATCCTGAGCCTTCAGAAATTCTCCGGAGCAGACTCGTTGTTTGGAGTATCCAGGTCTAGTACTAGACATGTCTCAGGCCAGAGTATTTCTCCCACAGGAGAAACCTCAATCTCCCTTATCCCATACTCGTGGTCTTCTCTCTAGGACCAGTTCAGTTCTCCTCTTCTACATGAGCATCCTCATTCTGAGGCAGTCCCATTTGCCCAGTTTCCCTCTAGACAGCTATAATTCTGTTGTGGGACAAGTTGGTTCAGTCTGATTTCATTTGGTACGAAGGACCAGGTTGTCGCTTGACGGCTCTGAAATCGGGAAAGTCATTCTTTCTCATCTTTTTGAAGATCCTCGTGACCGGTGCAAGATTGTTTGTTTGGCTGGGGAGGAGTCCTGAGCACCCTGTAAGTGGAGGGGGTGTGGTCTTTGTAGGGATCTCCTCTTCCATTCAACATGCTGGAGCTTTGAGTGATTTGTCTGTCCCTGCAGCATTGGACCATCTTACTGGAGGGTTACCCAATCCGGATATAGTCAGCTCACACCATGGTAAAGGCGTACATCAACAGTCAGGGAGGAACCAGGCATCTTGTTGCAGCAAGAGAAATAGAGCATATCCTGACCTGGGCAGAACCTTATATTCCAGCCATGTCAGCTGCTGACTTTAACAACATGACTGTTCTCACTTGGTTCTTCCTTCCTGTGGCTTGGCCATTTGGCTCAGGAACCCAGTGGTGCTAATGTTTTCTTTTTTTTTTTTTTATATATATATTTGAACCAAAGCTAGCTGCAAAATTATTAGAGGGTTTATATAGCTCCAACCGTTTGCACAGCACTTTACAATATGAGGACATTACAGTTACAATACAATTCAAGCCAAGATGGTAAGGAGGGCCCTGCCCATGAGCTCACAATCCAGGGGTGTGGAATTCCTATCACCTGACGCCCAGAACATGCAGTTTCAGGCACCGGGCGAGGAGATTTTTATTTTGACATTTTAGCTCTGCTTCCGGAAGCAGTGGTGAGCTGCTGCTTTATTTTATGCAAGTGATCTGATCAGATCACTTGTATCAAACGAGCAGCAATGTTGTCTGCCCCCCCCCTGTGGTTTTCAAGGTCTCCACTCCTTGGGGGGACCCGGAACCACGGCACATGAGCTCAGCATAGAGTGTAGAGCAGAGCGAAGAATGTCCATTCCTAGCTCTGCTCTGTGTGATCACTTAGACCGTAGCGCTGTAATCCCAGCACCAGCTGTCGAGGAACTGCACAGAATATCTGTTTTGTGTTGGAGGGCAGGTTCCGTAAAGAGAACCTGTCGCCTCCAAACTCTGGTTAAAGTTGTAAAAAATAAGTGATAAAATAAGAAATTAAAACCAACCCCGCTGCCCCGCCATCTGCATGCCAATAAACGCGTGCGTGTGTGTTGCCGCCGTTCCACTGTCTGCCATATTGTGCTAGCCATGCAACAGAACTCTTGCACACAATGTGCATTAAGGGTAAGTTCACCTTCCCAGCTAATATGGGTAAATGGAATTACCTGATCAAATCTGGCCCCGTCTCTCCCAACCCACCCCACTCCCCCAGCTATACTTACCTTCCACCGAAAAGTCGTTACCCTCCGCCAGTACAGGTGTACTATCAGTACCCTGTACTGCTGTCCAGCGCAGTCCTGCCCTATGCATTTTGAATTTCGCTTGCAAATTCCAAGCACTCATTGGTCCGTCTGGTCAGGTGACCAGACTGACCAATGAGAAGCGTTATTTAGCACAGTCAAATACGGTTTTGATTAGGGATGCTCCGATACTGAGTGTTTGGCCAAATACTTGTACTCGCCCAAATGCTGACTGGCATTGCCGTAGGGGAACATGGAGCCATCTTCCTGTGCAATCAGGAAGCCGAGCGGCGAGTAATGACCTGCCTCCCGGTTTCCTGATTGGCCAAGAAGCCTGCTCCTTGCTGATTGGCTGGAAAACTGGCTTCTCAGCCAATCACAATTAAGCCGGCCAAACATGGAACCGGCTTCCCTGGCAATCAGCAAGCTGGGTGGCATGTCATTACCCACTGCCCGGCTTCCTGATTGCCTGGGAAGCCAGCTCCTTTCCATAGGAAATTTCCACACCCCTGCAATCTAAAATAATTTTTAGATACTTGCTTTTATAGGGTGGTCATTGTGACAGCTGCCTGTCACCTCTCTTTAAGTGTGTATTGTCTTGATTCGTTTTATGTGTCGGTAAGAAAAAAATGCGTACTTGAGGGTTTTGCTCCCTCCATTTGCAAATTTCATTTAAGCTAATTGGTTCTCACAATACATTATTTGGCATCTACTAACATGCTCATTACTGAAAAGGGATACTAATAAATGCAAACTGCAAACAAGGTGATATCCTCCCATTCAGTAATTTAATTTCATGCTTGATGTCATTCTTTAGCGCTGGTGCTATAATTCTGTTTGAGAAGAAGTGGGTAAATGTCAGAATTTAATTAGGCTGTAAATTTGTGCTGTAGATCTAAATCTTAAATAGGCACCTAAATATCTTGTTGTTCTTTCCCAATATGTTACTTTGTGATTCTGAATAATGGCTTAAATATAGGTCACCGTGGCCCACTATACTCGGACTATATTGCTAAGCATATGTAGAAACAGTTGCTGATTTTTGTTTGTTACTTTGTCAGTACTTTGATTCTTTGAAAACATGTACGGGTTTCATGTATACAATTTGCCTTTTGTATGGTGTATATCATATTTATAACAAATAGGATTTCTTGAGCATCTGAAAAAACTGTTTAGCTATACAAGAAAGCCACAGGTTGAAAGTAAAAACAGGAAGAGTGTAGGAGATAAAAGAAGATAGACGGTAAAGGGAAGTAAACAATGGATCGGGGTTTAGTTTAGGAATGGACGACCATGTTGTCCAGAGGGAGGGGGAGAGGGGGTAAAACCATTTAGCATATTTAGTTTCTACTGACTGTAAGTGATCAGCTTTCATTTCAGCCATATTTGTAATGGGATTGCAATTGCTAAAAATGTCTCAGACCTATAATAGATTTTTAATAGACTTGAACGTTTGAAACATTTTACATATATACAGAATATACCTCATTTTTCACTGGTGGAAAATGTGAACTGGGGATATTCTAACTATCAAGCCTTAAAACTCATTTAAAGGAGTTGTAAAGTCAAAGTATATAGTAGGGGTGAGTACTGCCCAAATGCTCAGATACTTCCTTACTGGTCAGGAAGCCAAGCAACAAGTGAAACCAGCTTCGTAGCCAATCGGGAACCGGATGGCACCCCATGACTCGCCGCCCAGCTTCCTAATTGGTCAGTAAGACAGGCAGCCTCGGCAAGTGAAGCCGATGTTCTTTCGCTAGAACACTGGCTTCACACGCAATCAGGAATCCTAGTGACTGGTCATGATCCGCCAACAACCAACTTCCTGATAATCGGGGGGCACCAATGCTCGGTATCTGCAAATATGGGGGGGGAACGGTAGTCGTGCTTGATACCGAAAAAGCCGGTATCGGTACATCCCTAGTATATGCTATCCTGTTATAACATTAGCATTGTAATAGGAATACATACTGCAATCAAAGCTTACTTGAATAAATCCCTTTAAATAGAAACTGCTGCCTTCCATATGCCCATCACTTTCAACAACTCCTAGATTCCCATCCAGGCTAGATTTGGTCTAGTTATTATGAGGGGTTCTTGCTCTTACTGTTGGGTTGTTTAATGCCCGTCATGGAGAAGGCAACAGAAAATGTTGGAAGACCATGAAAATATTCCCAGAATCTGGAATTATGACAGTGAAAGCTCGGTCCTGGAGTATCCAGGAAATATCTACCAATCCAGGACTGACCCTGCCTACCAAGTGCCACCTATTAAAGTTGTAGGAAGACTGCAGCAGAGGGAGGAATGTATGAGTGAAGCAGAACTTACAGTACATCCATGTCATTTTTCCCCAGTCATCTTCCAGGACAGCCATCGAGATATAGGCTCCGCCTGCCTGCAACAGGAAACACATCAACCACATTAAATAAATAGACTCCTCCTTCCATCCCAAGTCAGTTTTTTTGTGTTTCCGCCGGCTACACAGGGACATCGTAATGTTTGTTATTTTTAGGGCTCATGTTTGTTTGCCTTTGGGCTGAGCCTTACCCTGCTAGGCATTGGGACCTACTCCAGGCTTACCTGCTGCAGTGCCTACAGGGATTCCCTATCGGACCCCCACCCGATTTCTGGCCAAGGTTCCCTTCCATCACTCAGGGAAGGATAGCCCTTTTTGCTGTGCAGCAGAATTGGTAAATGTCTCCCAATAAGTTTAAGTTGCGAGTGCAATTTCACTAACATTTGTTAACCGATTACAAGAAACAACTGACAGAAGATGTATGTCTGATGTGCAATATTAGAAAGTAATGGTTCATCATGTTTTAAAAAAAAAAAATTATTGTGCTTTCCTTTTTCAGATATCAACGTATGGCGTGGAACTGTCGTCAGAAGCATGCAGAGACCTTGGGTTTTCAAGTAACTTATTGTGCAACTCCTGTGGCCTTCTTGGGGAGTTTGACCTGAAGGGGATCGAACCAGCATGCAGGCAGTGTTGCCAGGAAGAGGCACAATTAGAATCAAGAAAGGTACCGTATGTTTCAAGTCTAGCCTCATTATCAGGACTTGACATGACATTTCTCTAAAAGTGGAGAAATATGGCACAGGTCATAAATGACTGAGGTTTATTTTTCTATTTGTTTGGGGGTTTTTTCAGTATAAAGATCTTGATATAACATATCCATAATGCATTGCAGATCCCATATTTTTGGTAAAGCCTTAATAAAACGTATAAAATGGAGCAGTTGATTGTAAATACCAGTTCCATAAGTTCATTTTCCACCTCCTTTTTTAGCTTCTGTTTTAAATTTGACATTTCCTTGAATTTGAAATCTAATTGAGGTATGTAAATCCAGAGTGAAGCTTAACCCTTGCTGTTCACTGAATCCTTTATTATAAACTTGCAGTACACATGGGTTTTTTTTGTATTGGAAATCCTGATCACAGGTCAACAGGTGCCAGGATGTCAAGATGACGCATCTAGTAGGGAAACTGGAAAATGTGTGTCAACTAAAATCTTACTGAACATTACCTGGATACTTCTAAAATCTGACTTTAATACAATGTTTAAAACAAGATTTGAATATGTGGCTATTGTTTAACCCCTTTGCGGTCAGTCCAATTTTTTTATTTTTCTCACACTATAAAATCCTATTTTTTGGCTTAAAAAAATATTTCAAACACCCAAAACTTTTTTTCTTTAAAGCGGAGGCCCTGTAGAATAAAAATATGGCAGTTACAATTTTCACCAATCATCCTCCAGGACCACAAACTGAGATTATAGGCTCCTCCTCCAACACAATGACCAAGCAGCACCCCCTCCCTTAGTTTACATTGTGTTTCCTACAGTCCAAGAGCACACATGTCTTGTCTCCGATTACAGATCGACAAAGTTCTGCTGATGCCCTTTCTATCTACAACTTATTTTTTTCTTGCCAGGTTCTTGATCCTATTTGTCTCCTTCCTCAACCCCCTTCGGTCTGTGGTGGCCACTGGGGTGTTGTGGCCAGCCGTGGTTGGAGCGCACTCTGCGTTCTGGTCTTCGCTCAAGTCCCTTCCAGTGGCCGCCAATGGATTTCTAGCCATGTGCAGCTCATGACTGACTTAGAGGAGGGGAGAGAGGCTTGGGTCCAGAGCTTCCAGTCAATGTCTGAAGTGTCTATAGACAAGCTGAGCGCTGTTCCTTCTGTTAAACCACCTACTGCCTCTTTTTTGTTTTACTAGTTGAGCTAGTAAACACTCTGGCAACTGTAACCCTAAACTTTCTTCTTCCCATCCTAAGCCTTTCTGTATTACAAATGTATTCAGAAAAGGCTTAGAAAGCTCCTTACTGGTTAAGGTTTTCTACTCTTTAGACATGTAGAAGCTCAATGTCTGGATGTCTTCCTTCCACACCTTTTTATGCTTGCTCTGTTGCCCTCACGCAGTTTCCCCCCTCTGCGGGCAGGGACACAGAAAGCAACAGTAAAACTAACAGGTTCCAGCCTCCCTCCTCTCAGTTTACTATCTCTTGTATGACTATGTGGTTAGTTAGGACCATTTCTTGTCTCATCTTTGCTTCTGCTATATACAGATTATGTCCCGGATACTTTTGTTAGCAGTGTCCCTTTCTAAGATTAACATTGGAATGCTTTTTTCCAGCAAGTTTGCTTTAGAATTGTGTAAATAATAACTGCAGATTATGCATGAGGATGTACAAAATCATGTAGCATTTCATTCATTGAATTTGGCTCAAGCATATCAACAGACTTTTTGTATTACCTAAATACAGTATCTTCGAATTGAGGGTCTGCTCTTACCCTATTTTAGACTTGCTTGGATTGAATCATCACCCTATAATTATAAAGTTATAGTGAGCTTGGAGCTGTTGACTACTTTACAACACACGGGGACTATGGGGAACAACAGTAGTCACCCTCCAGAAGGAAGGACAGTGTCTGCACCAGTTCAGAAGATTTGAGCATCTGCCGCTGAGTGATACACAAATAAGATACATTATTAATAGTTAAGGTATTTGAATGCAATTTTAAGATTTAACTACTGAGTTTAGTGTTACTTTAAGTCTGTGACTTGGTGACATTAATGCTAAACTTCAGGCAGGGAACAAGATTTCCATTTAAACCAGTCATCATTTAAATACTTTTTATTATTATTCTGGTATAAATACATAGCTCTGTCTTTGGATTGGCTTTGTCTTGCACAGCCATGCCCAGGTTTGGAGAGAGAAGAAGCCTACATGCTTCTTGTCATTGTTCCTCCTGTCAATTGTCATCTCGTCTTTCATTTTCTTTGTCCATGCAGCAGTATGGGGAAAGCTTGCTGACTAAACTGTACTCCATTGTAGCAGCCTGCATTTCCATACATGCCTGCATCATAAAACTGGCAAAACAGAATTGCAAATCTTTTTAGAAGTAAAAACACATCCAGTGGTATATTTTTCAGTTCTGTTTTGGCTTAATGGAAATTCTATTTTCTGCATATTCAGCGTATAACAATGGCCATTATCTCAGCAATTTGCTTCTATTATATTTATAGTCGATAGCGGTTGAGTCCGGCTTGTATGTCGGAGCCGATGTAATCATATCAAGTTGACGACTTGTAGAACGGTATTCAGTGTCCCATGGGGTGTTCATGTTTTGTGCTTTTTAATTATTTAGATTGCACTCAGTGTGTCAAAATCAGTGTCCCACAGCGGTCATCAGTCTCTATGGGACTAAACTCAGTTGCATCTTGCAGGGTTATTCACAAAAGGGGGAAAAGTTTGGAGAAGGCAGGAGAAGTGAACAATCTAGGACCTTGGTTCTCAACTGGTGGGTCATGACTCAAAAGTGGAACTAGAAAAAGATGGTAAGCGCATACATTATGTATGTGGTTACCATCTTTTTCTAGTTTGACTATCTTGGATATGGTGATGCATTGGGGGTCCCAGCATGCATCTGTGGTTGCTGGGCCTCCAGTGCGTCCCTGCGCCTAGTGAGGAGGAGTAGGACTGAATCAATATGCTCCCACTTGGAGACTCATATAAATAGAGTTAGGACCACACTTTACAGGTGCTTTGACGGTGGCAGTGTGGCTTCTACATATTTGTGGCCAAAGGTTTGTGCAACTAAAACCTCCTCTGCTTTTAACGTATACTGTTAGACAGGGTAATTTGTTTTGTGGCAGGCTAGCTGGCAGGTGTGCTGGGGATTCTGTGTGTCTTGTATGACTCAAAAGTGTGTCGCGACCCTGTGTTCAGTGTGTCGCGACCCTGTGTTCAGTGTGTCGCGACCCTGTGTTCAGTGTGTCGCGACCCTGTGTTCAGTGTGTCGCGACCCTGTGTTCAGTGTGTCGCGACCCTGTGTTCAGTGTGTCGCGACCCTGTGTTCAGTGTAACAGTAGAAAGGCATCATGGCACACTCACAAACCAGCATGTAAAACAACTTGTCTCACCACTAAGGACAATGACAGAGGTTTGGATACACGTCTTCTGCGAAGGATGTGTAAGCCGCACTGCCGCGCCAAGGCACCTCTTATAGTGCGGTCCTAACTCTAAACTATGAGAGTCTCCATCTTGGAGCACATGGGGCAGAAGATATCAAATTGGGTGCAGGCCTGTCAGGAGGACGCCCCACCTCCTTAAAGGTACAGAAACACACAAGGGATCCCGCACATCCCATTAGCAGCTGAGAAACCCCATGCGTCGCTGCACCAAATTGGTAAAGCAAAACAAACGACAAACGCACTCAACAATTTGTTACCAGTTATACAGTAAGGTGCACACGTCCACACTGAACCCACACTGAACCCCAGGCTGAGGATCCACTCCAGTTCTTATAAGGTAGGGAGACTGGGTAAACCTTCAAAAAATGTTTGGAGTGTGTATGTGTGTGCGCGAATGTCTGTGAGATTGTGTATGTAATACCAGTGTTTTTGAGGGCCCATTCACATGTACAGTGAGTTAAACTGTACCACGCAATCACACCTACCGTGCATTCTGGTGTGGGAGGTGTGTTGCGTTGCCATTCATTTATATTATACCCCAAACGCACCTTCCACCAACAGTTTGAATGCGCTGTACCCTGATTCCGTGTGTTCCATTGCAGTGCAACTTGGGTCACGACTTAATGACCAAGAACAAATGTGTGCCCTGAGGTTACACAGGTTGAGAACCACTGCTCTAGCACAACATAGCTGAACTGGAAAAACTCTCCAATTCATCCCACTTTCCAGCTCGGCTATGTTGTCCTAGATTGTTCACTGTTTTCTCCAAGCTCGTCAACCTTTAGTGAATAACCCTGTTAGTGTTACATGGAACAGATAATCCATTACACTCGGCACGGAGAGTTTCGTATTAGATCAGCAGAGTCCCTGTAAACCCCACAAAGTATAGACTGGTTCTCCTGAACTGTTCAGCTTTCAAGGCCTGCATCTGATGCACTGAAGTTTGAACTTCTTGAATCTGTTCTTTTACTGTGGTTTTATAAAGGCAGCAGGAAAAGTATCCTACTATACCCATTTGAAGGAAGCAAGATCATTGTTGTAGAGCTGATTTTAAAACAGTGTAGAAATAGCTTTTTACATCCATACTGACATCGCCAAAATTGTTGGCAACTATTCTCATCGATTAGTTGCTTTTCGCTTCGTTGCTGCCACTCTGCTCCTCCGTTCTCCACCCTGCTGGTGCTAGCTGCAGCGTTCTGTGTCCATTTCAATCCCTGCATGTATCGGCGGGGACGCAGACCACTGCAGCCAGCACCAACAGGGAAGAGTGAACTAAATTAACTTTTGCACGATATTAAAATTTTTCGAGTTTCACCTGTAGTCCCAAGTGCAAAGGGTATATCGGTAAGGAGTGCCGTGGAATATCTTTTGGCCTTAGTGCCTTGGGTGCAAATAAACATGAATGGTAACGTATGTTAATGTGTGTTGGGGCAACGCGTGCATTTTTTCTTTTTAGAGGTGCACCAAAATTGAAATGTCAAAATGTCAGGCCGAAACCGAAAAAGGGTTTTTTATGTTAACTTTTTTTCAAAAAAAAATGTTGTAA